AATTGGGGATATCTTGTATACTAAAGACTGTAGGTTGAAAGCAGTTTAATCAATTTTGTTGCGGTAAACAAGAATTAGCTAAGATCAACAAAATTTTATTTTTTTGATAACAGTGGTAACCACTAGATAAAATAATTTTGTTTCAATTTGATTTAAGCTAGTTGTTATTATATTAATTACAGGTTCATAAAGGGCTTATGTGTTAAGATTAAAAACTCTATTTTCAACCATATCACGAATGAGTTTTGACGAAGTCAAAATAGCAGAGCTTAATAAGCTTTGTTTGTTAGAACTTATGTGTTGCAAGACAGCGTTGAACTAACTTGCTTATTGTTTAACATAAAGTCCTGAAGTTGTCACTGTAGTCAAACATATCCAAACGCTTGTTGTTGGCAAGTTTTATTATTAAAGCTAGCTACCATTTCTAGCGAGGTTTTTTTGTTCTCTAAAAATAGTTTTCTTCATGCATACATACATAAGGATCTTTAAAAGTTATATCTAGACAATGCAGCTCTCAAATGTTTAATTTTTTTAACTAAGAAGTCTTATATATTATATTGGTGCAAATGGGAACTCCTAATAAAAAAAATGTTTCGCTTAAAATTGAGTTATTAAGTCTCCGTTTCATCGTCAGTCAGTGTCATCAAAAAAGTAGACACAGATATTATTGAGTAGTGACAGGATGTTAGGTTATCATCTTTCTGACAGTTCATGTACAACAGTAATCCCTTTACTGAACACTAAGAAGTTCTACATTAATGTAAAATGAATAACGGAAAGGAACTTGTTATTTTGATAAGAGGAAAGATGTGCTCCATATATTATTTATAATGAACTAGCTTTTATCCGTGGCTCCGCCCGTATGTATATCGATTATCGCGGTAAATAGTAGCCTATGTCCTTCCACAACTAACTAACTGTCTTTCAACTTTCTATCAAGAAAAAATAATGCGTATGAAACCAAGAAAAGATCTCTTTTTAACAGATATCGTGTTCTTCGTCTTTTGATTACATTATGGCTTCATTTTATTATGTCGACATCTTGAATGTTTTGATTGGTCAATGAGGAATATATAAATAAATATCCGGTTTTGAGAATCGAGGGGTCCATTTAACAAATTATTGAATGAAACGAGAGGGTTTTTATTATATGATTATGCGTATTATCAAGCCACGTGTGTGATCTAAGAGGGTTCAACTAAAGGATTAGATAACGGTAGGGTTCTTTATATTTAGATAGGGACGTAACAATGTCCAGGTGTAGGAACAAAGATTTTAGTGGATATTTTATTTATTTTTATCAGGACGTATTCTTTTTATATCTTCGTATTCTTTTGATGTGACACATCTATTGTCAGGCAGACTTTTGACGTGGCGACGGGTCGTCGCACTATGTGATAGTATATGTAACATGTAATGCAGTGTGGTTTTAATTGTGCTATATTTATTTTTTCTCACATGAGCTATCCCTTTATACTCATTAGTACTACAAAACAATTTCGATGTTTCACATCTGCCAACCGTCTCACAGAGGCTTAATTTTGTAATATAGGCGTTTATTTAATTGGTACAAAATAATTTACTTTAAAAAAAAAGTTAGACGTCAATGCGTCTAAAATCATGATAAATTGTACTAAGAATCTGCATTTATTGACTCTTACCTTCAGCTGTGGCATATTTTCTTTTGGTTCCTGGTCAAAGCTGGTTCTAAAAGATACTAAGATCACCAATTAAATTTTAAATATCGAATCAAAATAGTCAAACATGTGGCGTCGCGTCGCCAAAAACATTCTTCTTAAAGTCGATTAAAAAGCACCTACAAAAAACGCGGTGTAGCAAGTTTTTCAATGTTTTTAAATTTGGCGAAACGTGAATGATAACACATACATAACTGTGATCAACGGTAAGGTGAACAGTGTGCTTATTTAATTTTTTTTAGTTTAAAAATTGTATTGTTTGTTTTGTATTCTGTGGTGCTCTCACTAATCAAAGCAGGTTTTTAGACAATAAAGTCCCATGTTCAATACTTTTCAATCTTATTCTCATTAAATCACCTGTAAGACTACATCAAAGTTACGAGAAATACCCCATTTTACTTTATGTAACAAATAAGTGATTATCATTTCGCTAAAACAAAACCCTAAGCTCTCTAATGTTTGTGAAGCTACCGATTCGAAAGGAAAATGCAAGAAGTTATCTCTTACTGCATATTTAATATTTTTTAATTCTTTACGAGATTTATTCAACTGTAAAATTAACTCATTTCGAGTCTTGAAACTTGTAAGATTTTAAGAAGTCATATTGACTTTTATAAATCCAGCCCATCCTTTGATTTTTATGTCCACGATGCTATACTTAAGTAAGTACTAGTGGATCATATGCAATCTCTAGGACTCCTTGCTTAGAGGCACCAAAGTTCATATTAAATTCCTTTCAATCCATCGTCGTAATTTAAGACACACTGATCACAAATACCATATAATTTCTGTATTGGTTGTATTTCTCATGAAGAGAGAACATTCCCACGGCATTGTGAACGTGTCACTGTGCAATACTTGATTGTATGGACTACTTGTTCTGGAATGTATGAATTGAATAGGTACATGCTTTTTGTTCGAAAGATGGTCGACGTCTTGCTGAGCACCAAAATACTTAATAAAGTTTTGAGTCGTAATTGAATGGTTGGTGAAAAGTATTATGAGGCTGAAGCTTAATATTACAGGATATCTCCGGATCTTTGTTATTTTAACAAACTAAAGATTATATATGAGGTCCTCTAATAACACAGGCACTGGTTTTAGGTTTAAACGCGCGCGCTGTTTTGTCCTCTTGTATGATTTTCAATAAGGTTTAACCTTTATTTTTTTAGTACCTAGAGTTACCTGTTTTTTTTTTTTATGACTACCCGAATAGCATGCTCAATTTTCATGGGTAATCTTGGTTGTACATGACTCAAAGTAGCAGGAATACGTGGGGGATTAAGTCCCGTGGATTTAAAACCGTCCACTTCATGAGTTTTATAATAAAAATATTGATTTTAAAGATAAGTCAAGGCTGTACATTCACACCAGAATGAAAATCTACAATAAAAATAAAACTAGAGCCCTAAACGTTACAATTAAGCAACACGATGTTATAAATAAAAAATATTATAATTTCGTTCTCGTTACACAGACACGTCATTCCCTAGATTCATTCATATATATATTTTAATTAATTACGGCTCTATAACACAGGTATACAGATAAGTATGCCACATTGCCTTGACTTCAATTAAGCTAATTACCGTTAAGTTGGCTCGTGCTCACTGCCTTCAACAACATACGAAGTAGCCACTAGACCACGCTTTTAGCCGTTTTATGCTCAAAATGTTTTAGAACTTTGATTAGTGAAGCTTTCATAATTGCGTATTATTTGACCACGAAAGGTGTTGTTACTAGCCATGATTGTGAATCAGGCTTTAACTTCATTTGTAAACAAAATCAATAATTCTGTTTGATCGAGAACGATTCTTGTCACCGCGACCAGATAGCCATAATATGTGGTATAAAGCAGAGAAACACATATATATGATTAACTGCTGGGAGATAATGCTGTAAAAAATCTGGCCTGTTTGTCTAGTGGTTAGTGACCCTGACTGCTAAGCCAGAAGGCATGGGTTCGATTTCCACCCAGGACAAACCTAGTGCGATAACCACAATTACTTGTTCTGTGACTAATTCATCTATGATACGAGTATGTATGTATTTAGTAATGTAAATAGTAAAATAAAATAAAAGTAAATAATTCAAGAAAACAGATAGAAGTCATGTTTCATTAGGTGACAACGTGAGCACCATATAACAACCATCCCATCTTAGTAATCCATCCAGTCCAATTAAATGTTTTGAAAGTTTTCAGCAGAAGTTTTGCGATCAATGAGACTGGCGAAACGTAAACTTGATTATGTGAAAAGTTAATTTTTAACTCGGAATGTGAACATAACCAATTATTTAAGAAAATCGCCATTCGCTCGCACTCGCTTTATAAACCAGCCTACAGTTTTGGAGTCTTATCCTTGTCAAGGAACGTACATAGAAATAATTAAATGTTACATATTACATGTAAGTACCAGTTTTATTCCTGGGCCTAGAGTGTTTTATCGCTGATGTTTTCATTAAAATTGCATGAGCACATCTGACTAAACAATTTTTAAATACCCACATATAGTTCAGGATTAAAAATTAGTTTGCAAATCGAGACTTGACAGTTAGATAAAGAGACGTTTTAGTAAGCCATATTCCATCACATTAAAGTAATAGAAAATACAGGTCATTGCCATGTGAAAATAATATTACATATAGACTCAATAATAGCAAGCTATTAATACCGCAGTTCTGTTTTATTTGGTGATAAAAAAAACACAGTGATTTGATCCTATCCGCGATTATTGAATCGACACAAGATTGATTGTACGTCGTTAGGTTTCATTGCAGTGACAACGGCTTATACATAATTATATTGATGCTATTTGAATAGGAATATCAGAGAAAACGTTGTATGCACAGTAGAAAATTTATGTTCTAGAGAGCTTCATGACAATGGAATTGAAAATTTAATATGTTTGGTTCCTTACAAGCTTAAATACAACCATTTCAAAAACTAGTGTCAAGTAATCCATTAAAGTTCGAATCGGAGGCCAATGTAGTACTATATTAATTACCATGCACAATGCCCTTGCCTTGCCAGATTACATTCGAACAACAATAAATTAGTACCAAAATAAAACAAAATACTAACACAGAAGAGAAGATAGTCATAAGTCGCCGCCAACTTTCGACTCCCTCAAGCGTAATAATATATTTTCATAATGCATTATACAAATGCAATATGAAAATGAAACTTTGAAATTATAACTAAATTCAGACATTAACTAGCAGCTTTTTACCGTTTGGTATAATTTTTTTTATTAAGTCAATATCTGTAAATCTTCAACCAACTAAAAAGAAACCAAAACTCACCTTTCTCAATCAGGTCATTCCATTTTTTCGCCCATCCTCTCAAGCTTTTCGCATATGTCTTTTCTATGTCTGCTCTCTCTTGTACCAATGCTTGTAGTTCTCCGCATAATCTGTGTCCATCGTCCACTCGCCTAGTGGTGCGTTTGTAATTACCAGGCTCCCAGAAGGAGTCAGAGGCGACTGTGAGGAGCGCTTGCTCGTCGCTGTGGTGGGACATGGCGGTGCGACACTCACACACCGCCCCTCTGCGAACAAAATAAATGTACGTTGATTATATGATCACAAACTCTTCTGCTAAAAACTGCAAAGGTCTTCTTCCATGTGTCCAATGGCAATTTAAAAGAAAATGTTTGACAATGTACCTATTTTGATGTTTCCTTCTAAAGCAAAGGGTTTTGTTCCAGGACAGAATCCTTCGGAATTTTAGTAATCTGAACCCGATTTACTGATTCTGGATATCCATGGTTATTTATAAACTGTATAAAGCTACTCGTGTGTATTTTAGTTAGCTTATATAAAATGAATATACCTACTCTCTACGAATAACGCAAAAAATGAATATTTGACATGATTGCACTTTGATTTAAAAAAAAATGTGTGGTCGAAAAGATTATTAATAATTGATTCAATACCAATTTAGGGATGGTTCGAGGAGCAGTTTAGAAGTTTGGGGATATCGATCACTGTCATTATGCCAGGATGCATTATTTGGCATCAAGGTGTTGGAGCTGACCAACGCTGCCTGTAAGGAGTACACTAGGGAATATTATGATATTAACTTAAGTAAGTCATCCAATCAAGTAACTTTCTCTAAATGAGCTGGGTGTAAATAGAGAATGATGTTTTATTGGTACATGTATAGGGGTGTAACGTAACGATATAATTTATAGGTTCTTTCGATCTGAAAATATTCCATACTTTTACAGTTTCAAAGGAAATTAGTTGGCGAGGCAGCAAATAAAACTAAAATATCCAATCTCTTATCAAAATAAAAAATCATTTGCTAGGATATTGAGCTTCTTTTTAAAGACTACCTGTAAGAAGATAAAAAGACACATACTTTGTATTTTATTATGCATCATGATTACAATAGTAGCTTTAAACAAATAGAAAAAAATTCGTTTAACAGTTGGCAACACAGTGTCATCACTTAAATCACGTATAAATAAAACTATATTTAACCATAATTGTCTTTCCTGTATTTAACCTGCTTGATCTTGACCTCTAAATGTACTACAACAAACACACTACATAGTTAATATCAGTTATAATGACAACATAATTAACCTTTAATAGCCATCCTCCGTACTTAACAGTAATATAATATTCTACACAGGCAACTCTTACGTCAACTACCATTAAGATTGCCTCATTCCTTAGGTATGTGAATTTAAAATTATAATGATTTATCCATAGTGAATGAATATGTTATCCACTTATTAGTATGTTGAATGATGAATGAAGTATTAAATCTTCATTTACACTGCAAAAGGAAAAATTGGCATGCTTAAAATAACTAAGTATGTTGGAAAACTTTTTTGAAACTAGCTTTTATCCGTGGTTCCGCCTGTGTCTATGTCGGTTATCGCGGTAAATGTAGCTTATGTCCTTCCTTAAGAATCGTGCCAAATCCCATTAAAATCGGTTCAGCGGTTTATCCGTTAAGTCCGTCAGATCTTCTCGATAAATTAGACCGTCTTCTTAATAACTGCATTCGATTTGTTCACAATCTCCGTAACTTTGATCATGTTTCCGCTTTCCGTTTGTAGCACAATTGGCTACCAATTCGTCTACGCCGAAAACTACGAGATCTCACTATCTTATACTCTATCTTAAACAACCCATCTTCGCCCACTCCTACTTTATTATTTAAACTCCTACTTCCAACTTTTATGTAGTAATCACGACAGAAACCTTCTTCTTCGTTGTCCCCCCCACACGACTGACTTTGTTGGCTCATCCTTTATTGTGCAGTCCATTCTTCTCTGGAATGACCTTCCTCTCGAGGTCAGGATGGCGACCAACACTTTCTCGTTCAAAACTAAAGTGGTTTGATATTATAACTACTATCAAACTTTAACCAAAATGCACCTACTTCCTGTTCTCTCTGCATCACCCAAAGCTTGACTGGTAGAGAATGCCTTAGGCATTAGTCCGCCAATGCGCGAAAAGTGCATGATGTATAAATAAATAAATATTCCTAATCCTGAACCATAAAATATACTTAGAGATTACCTGGATGTTGAATTTCGATTGTTATGAACTGACTTGACTTTAAATTTCAGTAACCAGTATAAAGGATAGTAACGGACAGCATAATGGATAGGGAATACAGGGTATTGACTGTGAGGGGAAACATGGTCCCACACGGAGGGGGTCGTCTACTCGTCTGTAGATGGCCCGAGGTATGTCGGGGCACCAGGGACTTCCTTTCTAGGGTATACCTGGTTCTCCGGTTATTAGTACCCGAGACGGCGTGCGGTTTTAGTCGGTTCAAGTCCGACATGCCACCGATAGGTGGTATCCGAGGGGATTTCCGCACGGGAAAAAAAAAAGGGGAAACATGGTGGCTCAAAGGTTTGCTGGTTACTCTGTACGTGTTAAAATAACATTGTTCAATGCATATTGCCAAACATTTTACACCAGCAGTCTTTGGGTTAATCATACCCAAAAATCGGACAATACTCTGAGTATACAATACAACTATGCCTTTAGGGCGTTATTGAGGGTTGCCCTGTATTGTAGTTCATCAGGTTAGTTCGCTGATGAACACATTGATGACTACTATGATATAATGCGTAAGAAGGTAACATCCATTATACGCAGAGTCGGGATGACCACCAACGGCATTATGAAGGTATTTGCAGAGAGGGTGGATGGGTCGGTCAGGGGCAGATTTACTAGGCTGCAGGTGTTACATGTAGCTTAGTGGAACTCCCCATTGTATACAGGTACTCTTCCACAATTAGTTTTTAATATTATTTACTAACATAGTTATTAAGTTGTTTCTATGGGCAAAAGTGTCTGATAATAAAACATTTAATTTAATTTTATTATTTATAACGTGAAATCTCATTGTATGGACTCTTGTTCAACGATAGATCGAAGTATATTAAGGACCCCATAGTATTGTGCAACCGTTTTTACATATTTTTTTAATTTATTGCAAATCAAAAAATTCAAAAGGGGTATAACGAATATTCTACACGAGTTGATATACAAATTCATATTTCACTAAGAGAAAGTTAAACCAATAAATGTTTTACAGTATACTTCGTTCTGTCAAAGGTATTTGGCTCGTCGCAGTTCAATAAATCAATAAAACGTATTTCAGAGTAATCACTGTCCTTGAACTTTATTTTGGGCAGGTATATATTATAGGTAGCAAGTTATACTTGCGAAATAGATAGGTGCGGAGCGGGAAAGAAAGATGTTTAGAACTCGCCCGGCCCGCCAGGCTCGGGATCGGGCCAGGTACCGCAGACAACTCAGGCGCTGAAGGTCGCAGGACGACCTCCGTCATCCATAAGGCGCAGGCCTGGGGGTGACAGGTGTGGCCTTCTGTTACCCTAGCAGAAGCAGGCCGGGGTGGCGATGAGACGCGTTGTGGAGCGCGCGCGCTCTATCGGGAACCCAAGGGAAACATGGGGATTCCCACACGGGAGGGGGTCATCTACCCACCATAGATGACCCGAGGTACGTCGGGGTACCAGGGAAATAAACTTGAAGGAATGCCAGAGACAATTCTAACGGTGATTGACATCAAATGTTTGTCAGGTGTTTTATTTTAGGAAAGTGTTGTTTTTACTATTTTCCTCGCTATTTTTACGCTTTTTTTCTCCATTACAATCTTCCTTCCTATTTACCGCCGTAAATATGTCGATCCCTTTTCAAGTTTTGCGCTTAGCAACGTATTTGGTCATCTTTATTTAAATAGATTATACCTAGTTACTTTTGACGTTCATAATAACACATGCAATTTTTATACATCCAATCCAATACATACAAGTTATCTTATATTGGTGTACAGGAAACTTATACAAACTTATACAAACTGGCACATATCAACGGCACTTTCATGACGACAAGACGAGGACGACAAACATTTTAAATTTACAGTTAATTTCTTTGCTAAGTTACCATTAATAGTCTTTCTAGTTTATTCGTCAATATTAGCAAACTAACACTTTGACACATGATGGGAGATTTTTACACAGGTTGTAAAAATTTACAATACTATGGGGTGTTGTTGTGTACATTAAAATTACAAGCATGATACATTAGTTAAATTTGATGTTTGTTAATTTTTAAATTAAGTTTAGTATAGCTTTAATAACAACGAATAACTGTATATTATTTTAACCGACATCAAAAAAAGAAGGAGGTTCTCAATTCGTAAGTAACTTGAACCGATTCAGAAAATTCTTTATTATTAGGCAGCTTAATGTTTAATCTTATTTAAATTAAAAGAAAAATACCACCTCTATTTTTTGAATATCGAGGAATAAGGAAAGGGAGAAAGCTTATTACAATTCATCATGATATAGTCGGCAATACACATGCATACAGGTGCACTTTCTTCAACTGCGTTCTTGAAAATTGTAGTTGTAAATTGAAAATTGTAAATTTAAGTACTGGGAAACAAGTGTTCATTTTTCTCTAAAGTCACAGTAATGTGCTTAACTTATGTATATTAGATTCCGTTACTAACTGTTCCTAGAATCGGAACAAATATTTGCGGCTCACAAACAAAATACGCTCGTGTTAACTGGTTAATGTTGACGTTGAACCGAATATATTTTTCACGTTATTTTGAGTACCGCTTAAATTTTAGTATTCGCCATTATGGCGAGTACTCTAAGTTTCTTTCTATGAATTATGACAAGAATTTTTCTACTATATTTGAGGTAAAGTAGCGATTATACCAGCCACTAAAACTTCTAGCAATATAAAATTAGACATTAAAATAAAATTATATATTATGTATGCCACTTTACAGTATTTTTCTAGTGAATCTAAATAAAGGAAGATAAGAATATTTATAATAGTTTGGTTTGTATGTTTTTTCTACCCTGCCCACAAACTTTTAAAAACTTTATTATTTTACCTCAGCAAATTCTATGGAGCGTTGAACATAGGCCTCTATTCTACTAAGAGCGGTATATTGAATATGACGTATATAAATATCTATATATCATCCAGCAAGACGTTAGATAACAGAAGCTTCATCTGACGGTGAGCTAAGTAATGCACACAATATGACAATGCGTAATAAAATGGACGTGTTTGTGCGCACACCTGCCCAAGGTGATGGATAAAGCGCTAGGATTAAAAGACATTAAGTTCTGTGCACACTGAGTTTCTGCGTAAACTTTAATAAAAGATCGCACGTTATCAGTTGTTGTATGATATCATGCGTGACACAAATCCGGAGATTATACGTATTTAAGCAATATTCTTCAAAAACTGTAATTAATATATTTTACGGAACAAAATAAAATAAAATTATTGTGTTGCTACAACTTGGTGAATAAATGTAAAATAACGTACACAAATGAAGATGAAAGTCCAATAATAAGATAAGATGTTGTAAATACGGGCCTTGACGGGCCTGTTGGTCTAGTGGTTAGTAACCCTGACTGCTACACCGGAGGTCGTGGGTTCGATTCCCACCCAGGACAAATATTGTGTGATGAGCACGGTCATTTGTTCTGTGTCTGGGTGTAATTTATCTTTAATATGTATGTATTTAGAAATATATAAGTATGTTTATCAGCAGTCTGGTTACCATAGTACAGGCTCTGCCTAGTTTGGGATCAGACGGCCGTGTGTGTGTGTGAGATATATTAAAAAAAAAGATATATTAAAAAAATAAAATAACAAACAATTACTAAGTAAGAGCAAATTCTACGACTTAGTATGTAAGTCGAATTTTTGTCTGAGCAACCGTAGAGATATTCATTTTTTTTGTTCATACATTTTTGTTCATGCATCATACCTGAGTAATTTTCCTGAGTCATTTCAATAAATTTTGCGAGGTCTGAAGAATACAGCTCACTAAAATTTTCATTTAAGCGCATTGGTCGGTATTCATGTTTTTGTAAGTTTATTAAGCATAAGATACATTCGATGCAGAAACATGAACGTCACAAAAAACGTAGTTAGGTAGTAACGTAGTTAGCAAAAAATAATAATTTAAAAAATGCTATATAAACCTTTGTGCACACACCTTTACATTACACTAGCTGTGGTGGTAAAGAAAACATGTTAATCATTCTGTACTGTCAACTAACATAATTAGAAGCAAGTGTGGAGCTGCATTAGTCGCCATGATTTAATTCTAAATGTCAGGTGCAAGGTTGAGTATTCCTTAGTCTTGAATTATTGCGACTAGTTTTAAAATGTCACCTGTCTGTATCTTAAAGTTACCGAAACATACAAATACATACGAGTGCACATTAAAGTATGTTTTTTCTCGGATTAAATAAAAAGTGAGGTTTTTTATATACTTTAATATTTGTATTAAATCTTTTGACAACATATTTTCTTTCTTAACTTTTTTATGGTATAGGAGGACACAGGCAAACGGACACTTAATGGCAAGTGACTACCTCCATGGACTACAACTCAAGAATTATAAGTGAGTCGCCGCCCTGTCAGTTCCTCCCAAGTTCAACAGTGAGTCGCATGGTAAAATACATCATTTTAAATGTTAATATGTGATATCACAAAATGCATTTTGTCTTAGTGAAGCACCACCATCATCATACAGATTAGTAGAAAAAAGAGTTTCCGTAAGTAGGGCTACGACTGTAATTACAAACTGTTAACGTGATTCACAGCTATGGCAATGTGAAGAAAACATGCTCCTATATTTAACGAGTGATATCATTGCTAACTATTAATAGACTCCCACTTAATAATTTGACACACTCAACTCTATCGTAATACGTACGATAGAACTGTAGACCTATATATGAGAACTGATCTTTAAGACATTATAAACAATTTGTGGATCTATAAACAATTTGTGAATCTCACAAAGTGTCGTCCCATATGGGGATCGGACCAGCAACACTCAGCGTAGTAGTAGGCGGCGTCACGACCGCTTAAACCACTACGCCATCCGCGCAGTCCAAGGGCGGTAATGCACCAGTGTCTTTTCAGCTGCGTTTCTGATTCAAAACATTTACTTTAAATACTTTTTTTTTACTTATATCTTGCACGTGCCTAAGAATAGTCCCTTTACGTATATAATGTTCCCATAGATAATAAAGTATATACTATATAAATATATTATTTTATAACAGACGATGTTTTCTTTTAAAAATGACGTATCATTCATCTGTCTCCATCAGATTATGACGTGTTAGCATCCCCTTACGTCACAACGAGATATAGATGAACCCAACAAGGAGCGCATTTATAATGTAGTTAGCGCCAAAGATGTTTTCTTAAATATTTAAAAACAAGTAGAAAGAAATCATTTTACACAATAGTTCTTATCAAGAACCGATTTTATCATAACGGAAAATTGCCATAAATTTACACATACTTGAATTTAAATCTTTACATCAACGGCCTTTAATGGACCACTAATGGCCTCTCCTTAGAAATCTTACACTATGATAATTCGAACAATATTAAGTCCACAGTCTATGAATTAAAAATAAAAGTAACTAGGAATAAAAAAACTTTATACATGATATAACTAATTAATACTATTAAACAGTTTAATAAATAATGATTACGTTACCTACAATACTGTAGAACATGATGAAGTTTTCCCTTACACCGTCTGTTTCTCGCTCTGGTCATGGCGCGCTGCGCACGCGACGCACACTGACTTCTCACACGACAATGGCAAACAGACGCACATACAAGCTCACTTCACAATGATGGCGATGCTATGTTTGTGTTCTTTTACTTCACTTATTTAGAATTCTCAGAACTCAATTGTTGCTAAGATTGTTTTTTTGAGAATAGGAAATACTTAGGCACGACGAATAACATGATAATTTTTATAATATTATAATTTAAATATATTATTATAATTTCTGATTGTTTCCTTTATTCGAGGTTCCGTAAAAATTTTAAGATTTTATTTAATTTCGTATTATCATTTAAATGTTTCGTGCTCAGTTGGAACAGTTTACAAAGGAAATAGGGTGTTTTTTCGCTGTTATAAGATGATATTAATTTACCAAATAACATTCCTTCATATATGGGCACCAATTGCTTGTAAGTAATATGATAGCTACTTCGAACGTGTTCATTATATTGATATTGACATAAAAGGTTTTATTGGTATATTTGGTTGTCTAAATCGATTAACATTCCATTCCTCTCTAAACGACTATGGAATTATTATAACTTATAAATACTAAATCAATAATAAACAAATGGATGTTAGAGGGATTATCTCAGATTGTATTTAAAAAGAAATATTTGTTAGGACTGGAGTCTACTGTCTAATCTACAGCCTACTATTTTTTACGTTAGTGTACTAATTATAATCAGTTCATAAGAATCATTAGTATATCCTGCCTTATGTTATATATCTTGTCGCGAAGAGTGTCCTACGGTGGATTTACTAGTCACTGATAAGTGATAAGAGAAGACGACGATGTTTATATGTGTACACATTCTGTTTGTAGGCAGGTACCTATCTCTTAAAGTTGATTCTTTGAGGTATCTTCCAATAAAACTTATTAGGTTTTCATAAAAAGCGATTCATGTTGCCGCTCTGCATCCACTCCTGTGTACCGCTGAACTTCAGGTTATTTTGATATTTTTATTCGTATAATTTATGGCTCATAATGACCATTAATTATTTAACATTATTATTGTATTCTCAATTTAAAAACATGTTAAAACTTTTCTTTTCAGATTGTTTCACAAACTGATTTTAGATGCGACACAATGTTATATACAAACGACCTTATTTGGTATCCGTTATGTAATAAGGCAATACAAAATGTAGTATTGTTATGTTGTAACTATTAAATAACAAAGGTCAAGGTAAATTGTGGCAAACTAAGGCGAATAAGGTGTTATCTAAAATGATTACCAGTAGTCTGTTTATTTTGTTTTTATAACTCGAATATAGTGACTACATATATTATATTTAATCAATTACATATTACTGTAAATGTAACGTACCAAATACATGAGTGCTTGATAATTTATGAGACTGAAAGTTAATTGACAATTGAAAAGACAATTAATTACTATTTTATTAGGATAAATATAATAAATAGCTTTTAAATGTTTTTGAACGTTGCTTCCGATAAACTTTGCAACTTTTATGATTTTGCTGATTATAAAAATAGTGTCACAAGTATAGCCATGAAGAATGAACTCTATCGCAATTCCATTTCTATTAATTTATAAACTTTTATGATTACTAAAAGGCCCTAAAAACATTATTAAAAAAGTAAACATTTGTATGCTTCTTCGTCTCTTATTTGTAAGCAATTGTTTTGTCTGAGTGTCTGATTTTTTATCAATAAAAAACATTTTAGAAAAAATCATACTTAGTCTATTTGCACACAATTTTAGTAACGCCTATCATATCTTATAATAAGCAGCAACAAACCGTTTATGATTTTGTATTATTTTTAATTACTTTTAGATAATCAAACTTTTCCATTAACGCGATGCAGCGTCTTAAGTTCATCTTTGAACAATACGCGGTAATAAAATCCAAGGTTTTATATTGTTTACTTATTGTCGAAGTTCCTTTTAACATGACGTCAGCCAGATAATTAATGTAAAGAATACATTTTTATGTCAATTGTAAATACTTTAACTGTTCTACGTCTTATTGAAATCTGTAATATTTTTAGACTGACATCCTCTGTAAATTCAGAAGCTTTTAATTTGTTGGGAACTGTTACAAGGGCGGATATAAAGTGGACACGCCTTCATCAGTAATCCCCACAAAGGAGGTTGTATTGATTCACCAGGTCTTGAATACTTAGAATCAAGGATCAACTTTAAGTAATAAAAATTAATCTGAACTAATATTCTTACTGTGATAGTAGTACCTGAAATCTGAAGCATTTGTAATTAAATTAAAAAATAAACATCAACATAAAGAGGGCTTCGCATCGCATAGCTTGAAAATTAAAGTGTGTATACTAGAACATTCTGACGTGTCATTGAATTATGTCAGCGGTAAGGACTTTGTTTATAAACAAATAACATTTTCTCATCAAATAGGTCATGACTTTATTTGACATTTTGGCTGTGTAAAACGAAACATGGTGGAACAACATGTGATAATTGCATAATAATTTATGATGGTATGGCAGAAAGATTATACTTCCTATTAGAAAGGGTCTAACCAAAGAAATTAAAACACTAGTGGTAAAAGGTTGATATTAATGTATGTAGATTATCGTCAGCCTTTATTCAAGTTACCTAAATATATTTTGCTGCAAACGGTATGATACAGAATAGTTATAAAGGAAAAATTGGATGCAAAAAGATAAAAGGCAAATAATTTATTCCTTTCCAATTCTAACCCCTACTTTGTGAAACAAAAAGGCAAGGCTTTCTAAATTGAATTTTAATTTGCTCATTTGTAAGTAAAAATGTTGACTAAATGCATTCGAAATTCGCTGTCGGTGAGGAAAGGTACGTTTTCCATTAAATAATTAATTTAATCAATGAAAATAAGTGGGCTTTTGGATCTTCATTGATGGTGTAAGTGTTACTGTCTCTGTTTAACTTTACGTAACATATGATATTACGCATACAAAGTCAAGCTTAATAAACCATCCCACTGTAATTATTACATCATATGCCTTGAAGTAATATGGTTTGGTTACCGCAAATTGAAGCGCTGAGATATCACCAATTACTCCTAATCTGGGGTATGTTACATTACTTACATAACTATGTATATCTTGAAACAGTATTTATTTAATAATCATAAAAGTATGATACAGTAAGTACCGTTATAGACGATATCAGAATGTAACGGAACTAAAAAAGATATTAAAAAGCAGATTTACACACGAGCTGGTGTAAAAGAAAAAAAAAACGGACTGCACTTTAATTCCAACCAGATTTCGTGATTTAAACACTTTTATAAACAAACAAACTACACACACTGTTACTAAATAAGGCTTTTCGAAGCTTAAATTACAGACACAAACATGTCTATCGAACGCACAAACTCCGAATGGTATCTTACGACTAGAACGGCCGAAAACCACAAATTATTTCGATTATCGAGCAAAACTACAATGAAAAATGAATTCTACATGCATAGAAATAAAGTAAAATAGGTGTTTTATCCGGGCGAACGTAGCAATTTGTAAGAAAACGGCCTTGAATGTTAGACTTGATTCATGCAAGTTAGCGTGTTAGTGTGTTTCACACGGCGTCTATTGTGTTAGTTAATTTGCGAATTTGCCACAAGAATAGTCTTAAAATCGTTATATTATGCACGTCGAAGGGGATGTATTACTGATACTTGTTATAGAGTCACTAACATTGAAAAACATGAGTACAAAATTACACAGACTGCACGGATGGCGTAGTGGTTTAAGTGGTCGCCACGCCGCTTCCAATTATGCTGAGTGTTGTGGGTTCGATCCCTTCATAAGACGACACTTTGTGTGATCCACAAATTGTTGTTCTGAGTCTGGATGTTCTTTGTGTCCATTTCATGTAGGTTTGTAAAGTCCCCCGCTACACAGGATATATTCCTATGCGGGAGTAGTCTCTTAAAAATAGCAAGACGAATACAAAATACAGGCAGAAATGGTTTTACTAAGGTTCACTATATAATTTGACAAACAATAGCACCATAAGCGCTTATTGAGGTCTTATAATTATTGGCATCATAAACCCATGCTATCAATAGCAATTAAAAAGCGGATATGAATAATTTGTATAAGTGAAGTGACCTTAATAGGTCGCCGGGAAAAACAATATTTTGCGCATTAATATTAACATATTGAAAATTAAATTTTTTAGTTTAGTTTAGTAATATCTGATATAATTATATTTAAAGCCTTGAGTTGAAGCAACAAAATGCTGCTTCTCTCTCACATTCCGCATTTAAATCAAACTAGCAGAGTTAAAGGCTTGGATTCCCTTTAAAAAATAGTATTAAGGGTTCAGCTACTTTACTTTCCACTACTTTAGTGCCAGTATTTCCCGTACGATCAATATTGTAACATTTATGTGCAAGTATATAGCAACTTGCCTAAGCGGTGTAGGTACATACAAAAACGCTGAACTATAAATAATTACAACACGGAAGGCATAGCCATTTTGTTGGTGGAGCACAAGACGCCATTACGGCTAATGTTTGCCCAGCTGCATTCTCGCACTGAACCCATGAACGGCACATGTGTGTTAAAACTCATAAAACTATTTCCCATGAGCCGTGTATGCAGTAAAATGTATAGATTTAATGTCTCCTTTCCACTTTCTACGTGCGACAACGAAAGGTTTAACAGGAAATTACGCCGCCGGAGAATACATTGTCACTTTATATTTACTTATTAGAATATCCGTGTGGAATACGGAGTGTCACCACCCTTACTCATCCCGTGGGTGTCGTAAGAGCCGACTAAGGGAGCACACTGCGCAGGACAACAACACTGCAAAGAGTAGGAAAACCTGAAACAATCCCTATACCAACCTATACCAAGCGTGGTACAGTAGGCCAAATCTCCTTTCTAAGGAGAGCCCTATGTCCAGCAGTGGACCGTTACAGGCTGTTGATGATGATGACTAGAATATTCAAAAGTGTTACATTTTTTTACCACATCTGAGTGTCTTATAACAATGTATCA